GTACATCTTCATTTTACTATAACCTTTAAAACACCCTTCAGAGAAATTGATCCTAGAGTCTTCACACAGATATCTCAACAAAAACATTTTCCATGTCAACCGGTATTTAGAACTGAAATTCTCCAGTTAAGCAACAGCATGAACCAGAGGACTTCTCTCGATAGGGACAAAATACAGAATCATAGAATCATTTATTTTGAAAAGAACCTTTAAGATCAAGACCAATCATTAATCTAGCACTGCCAGGTCCACCACTAAACTGCATCTCTCATTGACACATCTACACGTCTTTTAAATACCTCCCAGGATGGTGACTCCACCACTTCCCTGGGCAGCCTGTTCCAATGCTTGACAACCCTTTCAGTGAAGATATTTTTTCCTAATATCCTATCTAAACCTGCCAAGGAGAACTTGAGGTCATTTCCTCTCATCCTATCCCTTTCACTTGGGAGAAGAGGCCAACCCTCACCTTTCTACAACCTCCTTTCAGGTAGTTATAGAGAGCAATACAGTTTCCCCTGAGCCACCCTTCCTCTAGGCTAAACAACTCCCACTCCCTCAGCCACTCCTCATAAGACTTGTACTTCAGATCCTTCACCAGCTTTGTTGACTTTCTCCGTACATATTCCAGAATCCCAATGTCTTTCTAGCAATGAGGGACCCAAAACTGAACACAGGATTCAAGGTACAGCCTCACCAGTACTGAGTACAGAGGGATCACCTAGTCCTGCTGGCCACACTATTTCTGATACAAGCCAGGATACCATTGGCCTTCTTGGCCCCCTGGGCGCGTTGCTGGCTCATGTTCAGCTGACCGTTGACCAATACCTGCAAGTCCTTTTCCATCAGGCAGCTTTCCAGCCACTCCTCTCCAAACCTGTAGTGTGGTGTGGGGTTACTGTGACCTGTCCCTGCGCCTTGTTGAACCTCATACAATTACCGTCAGCCTATTGATCCAGACTCTCCAGATCACTCTGTGGAGCCTTCCTGCCCTCCAGCAGATCAACACTCACATAATTTTGTGATCACTACACCTCAGATGGCCTCCAAATATCACATCCATCACAAGTCTTTCTCTGTTCGCAAAGAACAGGTCCAGCAAGGCCCTTTCCCCAATGGGTTCCACCACCAGCTGTGTCAGGAAGTTATCTTTCACACAGTACAGGAATCCTATTGACTGTTTCTGCTCCACTGTATTCTATTTCCAGCAGATGTTCAGTAAGTTGAAATTCCCCAAGTCAATGTAATTGAATTATTACCCTGCATATGAGTCAGCAATCAAAAAACCTCCATGTTCCAATAGCAAGAGTGTTTGGCTCTCCCTTATATGAACAGATGATTGCCAACAGTACAGAATTTCAGGATACTAATGTATCAAAATACATATAACCAACCAACCAAACCCAACCCACAACCCTAAGCGGTTGACAGATTTTCGAAGATTAAAAAATAAAGGGAATGCCTATTTATTCACTTCCTGAGCTAGAGACGTCTGGAAGGGAGAAAGGACAGTTGTCGTGCTTTGAGACCCCCAAAAATCCAATTTCCAAGTCCAAGCCCCCACTTCCACTATTTGTTGCAGTGTGAGAGGGTTTTCCAGACATAACACAGGACTCAGTATGGGGGGAAGGGAATTTTATTAAAATTATTACACAAATAAATATCATAATACATTATATACACAATTCTAACTATCTCTCCTATGGTAAAGCAATATTTACATTAGATCAAATCTCCTTTCCCTCCAATAAAAGTCCAGAAAGGAAGAAGGAAAGATCCTTTCCACTTTCAGGGCAGCAGTGTCTCTCCTCTTCAAGGTAGCAGTCATAGTTGGAATTGTTGTAGTTGGAATCTCTCTCTCTCTATTACACACAAGGGAGTCTCCTCTCACCTCTCTTGGCCCTTTGGCTCCAATTGAAGGTCTCTCTCCTGTGGACTGCGATTGCCGGGACAAAAGCTCGCCTCACCATGTCATATCATGGGGTGTAAGACATCTCATGGAAGTCCCTTCCTCGAGGGGTCAAGTTCCCTCGAGTCAGAACGTTTAGGGCAGCTCTCAGCTCAGTCTTTGCCCCAAGCGTCCTACCAGAGCTCCTTTGCTCTGTCTCAACTGCCAGCATGGTAGCAGCAGCAGGAGGGGGGGAAAGGTCACCTCCTCCGCATTCCAGCTGGTCCAACTCTCAGGACGTCTCCGAGCTCTCAGCTCTCCTCTCTCTCTCTACCTGCTGCTGCATTTTGGACTCCCTAAGGGTTTGGAAGTCCACCCCTCCTCTCTAGGAGGTCTCAGGGTTTTGGGAAAGTAATTCAGTCTTACCCCAAAACTGTCTCTGTTGAGCTTAGTCCTCTCTCTCTCTCTCTGTCAGACATCTCTGTGTCTCTCAGCTTAGCTGCATGCTGTCTTTGCTGCTTGTTATCTTTTTTGGCTTTCGGCCACAGTTCTCTGTTCAGTGCTGCTCCGCCGCTGCTTTCAGTGTCTTCTGCTGCTGCTCATAGTGGAGAAACTCCCCCAGCCTTTGATGATGGCACCCGATCCAGTTTTAACACTGTTCCGGGCTTCCGCAGCCCCCAACCAGGGGCTGGGGGGGCATAGCCCCCAGCGGGGCTCCTGGCCCTTCTCCCCTCGTGGCCTAAAACATGACTACTTCTCTTCCAACTATGTCATCTCCTTCTTTTCCGATCTGTTATAATATGTTGATTTCAAAGGAGCGAAATGTGGCTTCTGATTGGCCCTGCACCCAGAACACCACCCCCTTGGGGTTACCATTTTTTTAACTCCAGGAGAAAACACTTTTTTTCCCCACCACAACAGTCCTCAATAGAAAACATCTCCGTGACCAAGAAAGCTTTCTGCAAAGAGGAACAGAAGGATTCCCAAAAGAGAATAGGACTGTAACTGGGATGAATGGGGATTCTGGCTGAGGGCTTATGGAGTGCTGTTCCACAATAATAGATGATCAGAGTAAATGCTTTTTTGCTTGACTAGTACAATCCTGATAATTAAAACAGTCTTCTTTTCTGCAGAAAAGAGGGTCCCCTTCACAGAAATTCAGACTTATTCAAGGAAATTAATTGACAAACGCTTAACATTTTATATGTTTTAATCATCCGTTGTGAAATCCTGTTCCTTTGAAACAAGAACTTGCTGTAACTGAAATATCCAGTTCACACCAGAACTGGAATTTGCAAGTGCATAGGAGAGTCTAGTGAAGAGGGGAATTCAATAACTTTCTTGGGGAAAATTTGCAAGTTCAACTCTTTTAATTCGCCGGGCATTTATATACATGCTTTGAAAAAATGTAACTGACTTTTTTTGACCAAGAAGGATTTTTTTAATTTCTTTTTTTGACTTTGACACTTAATTTATTGATGTTATTTAAATACAAATTTTATATGTTCAGGATGATTATTGATGCTTTGTTTTCTTCCAAGTTATCCCACTGGGCCATATTGTATGCTTTCAGACCAGTCTGTTTAGACAGTTTTAGGATATATATAATCACACTAATTTATTCCAATTCTATTTGTTTCCTTGGAGGTTTCTCAAATACTTTGATGCATTTTACTTCTCTATCTTTCCCTTCAAAGTCACAACGAATTCCCATTAGAGGTATTGTAAGAATATATCCTCAGGGTTATGATTTATTCTTAGGCAGACTGACTAAAACTTAGTTTTCTTCTTCTATCTCACTATTACTCAAGGGAGATTTCAAAATGCTAAGTCTCATTGGCTTAGATTCAAAGGGAATTTAGGAGCTAATGCATCTCAATACCTAATTTTTAAGCACTGGTCCCAAGGATGGGATCATAAAGATCCCTATATGATTCATTAGAGAAGTTAGACATCTTAAAATAAGCTCCACAAAAAATGTGCATGCTAAAGAGGGATCTACGTACACATTTAGTTCTTCCATTTTGAGAAGATAGAGCCTATGACTCTCACTTGTCCTGTCCCAGGGAACTGTTCTATCTCACCTATTCTGGATGCCAGGATGAACATATCAGATATATATTGAAAATGTTTTCACTTTACGTAGAGTAAGAGATATCACTCAGAAGGAGTAGGCTGCTAGATTTTAATCTTGTGATAAAAGCCTTCAAGAAAGGTGTGAGAAAGCCTGAAAGCTGTATTTTCCAAGATTTACCTTGACATTTCATTCACTGACTTTCATTTGTATCACAGATGCTTTGGTTATGTTTATGGTGGTAAATAGAATGGACTAGGACTAACATGGCTATGATTAAATTTTCATTCGTCCCTCATACAGGAGGCCTTATCCATAGTGCTTGGCAGGAATACCCTTAGCTTTTTTCAAAAACTTTGTTATTTGCTCTTCTTCAGACTACTTTGCACAACCTGCAAAGGCATTAGCTATCATGAACCAAAATGGTTAAAGAGCATCAGATCCTCAACTTTATGGCCTGAACATTAAGTTTACTAGTATAAGTATGACCTTTATGGCTTAGGATGAAATACAAGACCTCCTGATTCTCAGGGGAAAACATTACTATTACACAACTGTTAAGAAGTCCTACCTCTTATTTTCACTGCAGCCTGGCAAGTTTATTCCCCTAGAATGGGGGGGGGGCACATCACTCACTTTTATGTAGAAAATAGATGTGAAGTTGATTTCCTATAAAGAAGACCAAAAAATAAGCCCAACCAACAAAACCAAACCAGCTTTCTCACATTTTAGAGGAATGGTGTAATACAAAAGAGAAATCTCAAAGTGGGTTTGAGTAAAAGTCTTGACGAGAAACAATCTGAGAAACGATTTTATGAATCCTAATGAGGCAAGGACAAGAGAAGTGGATCGAGCTATCCAGTTAAAACAGATGAATTTTTGGTCATAGGCAAAGGCAGAAGGTCAATGCAGCAGATGAGGTTTTCAGGATCATAGTTCTGTGCTAATACCTCTTTTCTAGTAATTAAAATTTTATTTTTGTTAATTTATTCCATGACTTCAGATAAGTATAAGCAAAGTCTGTCTTCCCTATTTCAGACTGATCTGCACTTTAGTCAGATCTGATGATTCCTTCTGATGTATGAACACATCCAAGCAGTAAAAGGATAAATGCGGATACATCTTGTGTTCTGATGCCATGATGGTCCTGCAGTGTCCAGGAACAAACAGTGAGTCCCACAAATAAAAAAGGAGTCACAAACTGGACTATCTTTGCTTGACTTGTAACCTGAATAACTCTGGTTTGTAAGGCAGCTACCTTTTTCAGGCACAGCCAGGGTAAAGGAAGTATTAGATATCATGGGAAATGTTATATAGACAGTAACCCTAAACAGTCACACAGTGCATGCTCCATTTCAGGAAGATACATGCAGAACATATATGAAAAAAAAAGGAAATATAACGCAAAGACTGCTAGTCAAAACCAGAAATACTGTGTTCATTGTAAAACCCTTGACTTAACATTTACAAAAAAGCCCACTGTGATTACAGTCTAATGCTAACGGAAGCATTCATGTAATTCATATTTATGACCTTAGTGAGAACCAGCTCAACTTGAGTACAGATGGCCAGGCACTTCCCAGGGAAATATTTTCACTGAAAAGCATTTCACTGAGCCTGAATGCTTTGATTGACTCCTCTCAGGTTTGACTACATTTTGCCAAATCAAAGGCAAATCCTCCAGTCCTGCCAGGCTGCTTCAGAGCAATCAATCTACTGCTGCCAAGTTTGGCAGGTCTGGGACCAATCAACCAGAATATTTCCAGAACAGAAAACCTGAAAGCTTTGACTGTCAAAAGCTGGGATAGGTTCACATAACTAATTTGTTCTGGGTCAATCTACATAATGGATTTGCCCTGGAATTACTGACCCTGGAAGCAGTTGGGTATGGTGTTTCCAGGTCTGGAATGAATTGTCTGGTGACTGAACAATTACCAAGATCCTGTGGCTTGAGAGTCTACAGAGTGGGGCTGATGGTCTTAATAAAGCCTCCTTAGAGTCTGTGAGGCACAGTGTAGAAAAACTCTGAAGGGCTCAGGTGATCTCCTAGACATTACAAGCTGTATGCAAAATCCAGTACCTAAAAGCCCTTATGGGCTTTTCCATTCTGCCTTTTAATCTTGTCTGCATGGTGAAGCATTCTGAAGACTTCCAGAGCTGCTCAACAGTGCTACTTGTCAATTCCTCTAGTCTAGTGTCTTAGGCTCAAACGTGGCACTTTCAGAAATTCTTCTTTTATGGAAAGCTATATGTATATATATGTTTACATATACATATATATGTGATTATATATAGAAACACAGATACACATATACATACATGTATACATGCACACACATATGCATACATATGAAAAGATACATGTATGTGTGTTTGAATTTAATTTCAGGAAGCAAGTCAGTCTCAGGGACCCAATGACAAGAAACCATTAAAAAGGGTAATTTCCACAAAATGTCACACTTATGGAAGCATTTAATGAATGCAGAAAAGCCACCAAGTAGTCTGTTCTATATAGCAATAGAGATGCTACAATACAAAAGATGCCTTTATTTGTAAGAAAAGTAATGTTACAAAAGTAAAGAAAGCAATCTGGAATAAGAAGCATACTTTCATTGTTCTTCCCAGCTACATAAATGTTAAAGGCCCGTTCTCTATTTTTTAATTTTTTTGCCCTTAGTTTATTTTATTCTTGCAGTCAAACTTCAAATCAAATTTTAAAGGAACAATTCTCTGAGTTTTTGGTCACTTATCTCTTTTCTCTCTCTTGCCAGGGCACTCCATTTTTGAATTTAGCTGAATCAGCATGAATCCAATTGTGAACTGAAAAACAGTTTTGGAAAACCACTCAGTATTTCATCTCAATGCTAGCACACAATGCCACCCAATATCAACCCCACAAAAGTATTACAGCTTGAAAAGCAGATTTCTAAAGGTTTACTTCCACATTTGACATGTGATTTTTTATCTGACCCACTCAAACAACTCCCGCACAAAATGAGGAAATCAGTATTGTTAGGATTCTAAGTGTATTCACTACAGTTTCTACTTCTTTTATTCCTTTTTTTCTAGAAAGCAATAAGAAGTTTCATTACTTCTAAGAATTGAGTGTTAAACACTAGGTATCTGAAAAAAGATAGCTTAAAATAAAAATTTTTAGTAAATTAAAACCAAACTGAAACACAACCAAAGAGAAAAAAACCCCACTGCTGCTGACTCCTTGTGTTCTGTTAATTGATGTCCTTTAATGAGTCTTAAATACTTAAAATGAACAAGAACATCTGAAATACTTCTGCATTTCTGAAGTATTTTCATGATCTTTATATAAAGAAGTCTGTTGCATTTATGGAAAAATACATATCTAGGCATTAGGAAGTTGTGCTGATGGATAATAGAATAGCAAACAAGATTAATTAATTAATATTAGGCAACTTAGCAAGTTGGTGCCAAGCCAAAGAAATTAAAACCCCTTTATTTAATCCAGGTATAAGATCACTCTTTGGGAAATGGTAAAAACACAGCATCTTTAGTATCTCAAGGTGTAGGGATAGTTGAAACTTTAGAAGAATTTGTAACAGAAAGATACAACTCATTTTGCTTAGGAAGACTGCAGAATGCCTTCTCAAAATGGCTAGATTTTTTTTCCTTCTGCAGAGGGAGTTGCAGAGAGAAAGCTGTGTTATCTCTCTCTGCTATGCCAGAGAGAGATAAGCCTCACAAATATGTACAGGGCCCCAGCAACTGAGAGAAGGTGTGAAGGATAGGGAAGAGAAGACAAAAAGTCCTGGAGAGAACAGGGCCTTGCCTTTTCTCCCTGAGGCCCAATGCTTCTACAGCACTGAGAGGTATTTGTAAGCTTTTTGTGCTCTAGCCTTCTAAATAAACTTTTTGAATTCTTTCCACTGCCTTGGCATTTCTGGGGATACCTGCGTATCTTACCTTACACAAGGGTTGGTCTCAAAAAAATGTTGTGGAAGGGTAATAAAAAGGGTAAAGTAATGCAATGAAAACAACACTTAAAAATAAAGTAGGGATGATATCCTTCTGGACTTGTAGGCTAGGGAAGAAAGGATGTCAAAGTTCACCTAGAAGTTATAAAAATTCATTGGTTGAACATATGTGAGATAGTGGGATAACTTCTTGGAAAAAAAAGCTGGGGATACAAGACCCATCTAAGTGTTGTGGAATTTCTTGCTTCAGACAGACAGAACATAATGAAAAAGATTTATTTCCCATTTAAAATAGTGATAGAAGAAAGAGCTGGAAGAAATGGGGGACCTTCTGGAAAGTTTAGCAAAAGTAGTTTAGTTCTGCATTGAAATATTTCGTCTTCTTTTAGATGAGTTTGATAAATGAGCATTTAAAAAATATGAGAAGTGACTTAGTGACCCTAAACTGGGACTTTCTGGCTGAAAAGTACCCACATTACTGAAAGTGCTTCAGACATACGGGTGAAAGTAATCGGTAGACTAGTACATGTGTTCATGCACTCTATTGCTATCCTATCTGAATGTCACAGTGCCACATGCACCAAAATGGGATCATGAAAATACACAAATGGCTTAGCTGATCTCATCTGGACTTATAAAAGAAAAGTTCAGATAGGTCTGACTTGCAGTAATATATTGTAAAATCCAAAGGAGACTGAGCCTACATATAAACAGTTACCTGTAACTTCAGCTTCAGATCTGAAGTCAGAGGCAATATATCTAAAATAAAAAAGTATCATAAAGCTAATAGTTTGAACACTAAAGTTTTCTTGCATTACTTCTTTCCTCAGTGGTGAAAGTAATAGCTGGTTTTGATCTCACGACAGCTCAGGAGACAGGTGTCAGCCAAACAACACAGAGGATTTCATCATTTTCCTTTTTGGGAAACTGAAGGAAGATCACATGCTGGGCAGGAAAGCATGAAGATTTGTTTGATAAGATTCCATTAAAGTGAGCTGACAGCAAGGTTAGAAGTGAACTAGGAAAACCTCACCTGGGTAATATCTGGGAAAGAAACAATCAGCTTGACATTTCACATTATCAAAATGAAAGTCAAGTGTTCCTTTTTAAAGGCAGTACATCCAATACTGGGATCACTGTAACGCATTCTGACTGAGGAAATCATTTTCTTCCTATGGTGAACATGAGAGAAGAAAAGTTCTAAAATCACACTAAATATTGTAAGAAGTATTGCTGTAAGTGTGCTGTATCTTGCCTTGCTGCATGATGATATTCAAAGACTCATTTAATGTTAAGCTAACTCCATTTTTGATTTTTTTTAATTTAAATATACTGTCATAACCTCATTAGCATCTGATTACTAAGCAGTTAGTTAAGGAAAAGGACAAAGAAGGAAAATTAGATGCAACATTATAGGGCATATTTTCACCTTGATGAGCAAGAGAAACTCATTAGGGGTTACTGAAAGTCATACACATGCTTCAGAGGAATAATGTCCTCAAGGTATTTTGTAATTATTAAAATGCTAAAGAAACAATGTCTATTTTTTATAGATAAAAGAGCAATTTGTCAATAACAGATAGGAATACATGTAAGGAAAAAACTATACAGACCAGAGAAATATAATTAGGCAGTTAAGGCATTGCCTTTTTTTATGTGATGGAAGGAAAAAGGAATTGTAAGAATAAGATAACTGTAATTTGAAAGCTAAAATTTTTAAATGTATACAGAAATTAGTAACAGTTTCTTCACTGCTTGGCAGGGGCTTCTGAATGTTGTCTTCTATTCCTCTTTGGAAGGGAAGGAGGATGTAAGGTTTGAAAGAAATAGCTGAGTATTGCTGAATACCAAACAAAATGCATATGTATCTGACCAGGTACAAATTAAACCCTCTGGAAATGAAACAATACTGTATTAAGATTTCAAGCAGGAGAGGCACAGCCTCCATTAGCCATGTGTGTGGTGCTTCAGTGCTCTGCTGGAAGAGACAGAATGTGCAGTGTTTGACAGGATCAGCCTCAACTCCCATCACTCACATATGTACACACACACATAGCAGATGAGTTATTTCCCCTTAAATTCATATTATCATTGACTTAGCTTTGGATTATGAATTTTTTTCTAGTTTGCCAGGGACACACTGACTCAAACACTTAAAAATCCATCAAAATCTGAAAAGCACTGTCAGCAAAATGGCTTTATCAGAAAATACAGAGAAGTTTTGTTTCCCACCCACTATCATTAGCTTAGCCTTGTTGAGGAACTAAAATCACCCTTTCAGCTTAAATTCATGAAAAGGGTAAGCTCCTGAATAGCGTTTAGAAATGTTTGGACTCCAGTGAACTATTTTTGTTCACACATGCTGCCTTCTGAAATCTAGACAGTTTATACAGAGGTATTCTCAGCTCCAATTTACCAGGGCAAGAACTTTTAGCCCTGACATTTACAGAGAAAGTAGCATAACCTGTTCTGACCTTTCAGGAGACACTCCTGAAAGAACCAATACTTATGGGTCAATGACCATCAAGTACACTCTGTTGATTTGCAAAGTCTTATTAATATACATCTGTTTCCTTTCTGAATTATTTATTTCTTGACCAGACACAGGATTGCCCTACAGTCCATTTAGGAGTTTACTTCTCTTTGTTTTGCTACTACACCACGGCCACAATGCATCTGTAATAAATGCTGCCTTTTTCACCAAATTCATCTTGAAGACTTAAATATATGAGATCAACCATAAGAGCTCCTCAGTAGCAGCAGTGTGTGATTTAAGGATCAAATTAGGTTCTATTCTTCCTGTGAAAATGTTAATGGTCATCACATAGAAGTGTGTAACGGCTTCGAAAGCAAAGGCCGATGAGAAAAGGTTTTGGGTATTAAAAGTGACAAGTTGGCAGCACTGTATTCCCTCTGTAATCAGAAAGGGGGAGAATCTCTAGCTGCATCTGAATTAGTAATATTTTGATGCTCAGTCACATGTTACTTTTGCCAAAGCTATGCAGTTAGTGCAGCTGCCCTTCCACAGAGAGATCTCTAGGAACATTGAAGTATCTGCGTGCAAGAACATGAGGATAAAACTAAGCCAATATTTTTTATTAATTAAATTTTAATTATACAAGAGGACCTACAATAATGATACCAAATAAAGTGAACTGAGAAAAATACAAAAGCCAAAATGCAATCATTGTATAAAGTATATTTTATAAATTTTATATTCTGCATTTTTAGACAATTCAAATAAAAATAATGCAAAGTGAACAACAGGAACAGAAATAAGCCACTGAGAACACACAGAAAATGTGTTGGTAAAACAGATAAATGTCACTCTGAGCCAGAAATCCATCCCTGTCGAACAATGATGTTGCTATCTCAGGCATTGTTTCAATAGCCCCAATAACAAAATTCCTGCCACAGATTGCAATTCCACATTCACCTCATTATTCAGACCAGTAGATATCATGTCATTTGACAGTGGAACACTCCCATACCTCCAAAGATAATAATTTATGGACTGTAATGTTGTAAAGCACTACAGATTAGCGCTCGGTGCTGCTGGAATAGGTTCTTAGTTCTATCTCCCCAGTTAAAAGCAGAACCAATCAGACTTAAGCAAAATTAAGTCACACTTTAAATCAAATTTCATAAATGGGAAATATAGGTTTGCTCAGTTATTTTGATTCAGTAATCATTTTGATACCATCATGAATCAACAAAGAAACTCTTGGAAAGGCAAATAATTTTTTTCACTATTGTGACTCAAGAAGCTACTAATACTGTCCACAGGAATAATGCAATTGACTCTGTGTAAAATCACAATAGTGACAGTAGTGATCTGTAAATAACTGTTTTGAAATAAGCTAATTTAGGTGCCAGCTGCAGATTAGCAGAGTTTTATGTATGCTTTCAAACGTGACAAGCTATGTGATGTCAAGCCTGTATGGTTACTGCAGATGTCTCTAGTTTTCTCAGATGCTTTTACAGCCACTTTGCATTGCAATCACATTGCACAATGGGGCAGTCTGAGTGCAGTGAAAGGGCTTATGAGGAACCAGTACTTAAGTATGGTCTTCCCCATAGTCCTATAACATATGTAGGAGGAATTTGAAACCAGGATAGGTAATGTCATTAAATAATTTATTTGCTCCCATCAATAGGTACTTCAGTGTGCAGATTCCTATAAACCATGTGGAAAATAATCCTGCAAGTAGCCTGTTTCCAAGAAAGCACATGGCCTTAGGCTCCTGCCTGTCCTACTGCTTCAGTGAGGTTGAAATCTGCTCTTCACACAAAAATTATTTACAGATCCTTCTCTAGTTCTCTCCTTGGGTGAATGGGCTGGAATCCAATGCAAAAATGATGTCTGTTGTTCATTGTTTCTTGTTTTATATAAAGTTTGTATTCGTTATTAATGGGTACTTAGAGAATATTTATACATTATTTATTTTAGAAGGACGTCTTTATTGTCCTTTTTTTTTTCACATCCATAGGGATGTGTAACAAAAAAAGCCAAAATCAGGAAGAAGGATTTTTTTGCTATTATTTTATTAGAAAATCTAAAGGAGAGGACTATTATATTTTAATCATATAGTTACTATTTTTAGGCCAATCATAAGGTGATAAACATCAAGTCATTAGTTTGAAAAGTTTAGAGTCAGCTCAATGCTAGTTCTTGGCCTGAGTATCTTTTCTTTTTTCTATTTTTGTTCTATGGCATATTGACAATTTTTGTGATGCACACAATAAGCAAAGAGAACATAAAAAGAGCTCTAAATTGCAAAGCATCTTGTTTTGAGAAGAGGGAATTCAATAATCTTTTTTTGGAAATGGAAAGGTGAACAGAATTTAAAGCCTTCAAAAAGGCACAGTCTAAAATTATAATGGTTAGTGCTAGTGAGCAAGTTATTACTCCTGTTATGCCAGTTGGCATGCAAGACTTCCACTTAGCAGTAGAGAATGTTGCTAATGTGCCTCAAGTGTTTCTAAATTCAAATTAAATACTTCCTCATTTTGTGTGTATGCTGGGACCATTCTTTCATGGCTTGAATAGATCAAACTGTGTTACTCAGGCTGCTGTGCCCAGCTTGATGTAAAGACAAGAAAAACTAAGATAATTAATTTTAGAGGTTGTTTTTGACTCAGAGTTTCTTAGCTCCATAGTTTAACTCTATGAAAGAACTTATCAGTTGAAATCATGTATGTATTAACAGCAACAAGCATTGCAACGTCAGGACAGGTTAACAATCCTTCATGTCTAGAAAGCTCCACACTAACCAGTGTGGCATACATTAGAAATAGAATTAAAGCCATCAAATGCATGTCATCTATGGCAAAAAAATTTTTTTTCTTTATCTGTTTAGTAATCATTTGAGATACTTGTTTTGCTATTACAAATTCCTTTTTTTTCCTGCATATTCATATGTAGGTTTTCTTGAAACTGAAAATACTTATTTTCTCTAATTTGAGCTGATTTAAAGCTATGATTTTCAGAACATACTGAGAACTTCCCACTCAGAGATACTTCATTTGAGTACAGAAAAAGATAAGACATCCAAAATGACTACTTATTTTTGCAAACCTGGAAATAAATATGTAATATTTCCCTGAGTATTCTTTAGGCATTTGCTTTTGAAAGAGTTCATAGCAGTGACCTAAAATTCAAATCACATGACTCAGCTCAATAGACAAATTTTGATTCTGTATGCAGCACCTAAACTGGGCTGCTCCAGCTTGTCTGTGAGAAGGTGTCAATTCAGAAAAGGCTAGAAACCCTAATTGTGCCATTTTGTGGTTGAGTCATGCAGAGGCAGTGCTTTCTTTAGTCCTGTGTTCTCCTTCTCTCTGAGTGCATATAAAATGGTACAGCAGGCTGGCAGTAAGAAAATAATTTCCCTTTCTGTTTGCATAGCATGTAACATTTTGACTTAATAAAAATTAACACAAAGCCTCATCCTTAAAAGCATTTCTGTTCACCTCTATCAGTGCTGTCTAGGACTTTTCCTCATAGGGGA